ACAAACATCAAGTTTCTTTCACGATTAACATATATTTGCTGATATCGCCATCAATACGATAAGAATTTCACAATTCTTAATTTTTACTATCGATAGTCACAAAATAAAATAACGAAGTTCATAAAGCTTTGTGAAATTATTAAAATTACATTTATTCGGCGAAACAAAAAAGGTCTAAAACAGGTTTCCTCGTTCGTGGTTGAAGAAAAAAATACAAGTGATATTAACGATTTAATCCTAAAAAAGCAAGTATTATTTAGTAGTATGAACTTCTAGCTGACAGTAAATTAGTCGAAAACTTAAAAATCCAGCAAGCAAGAAAGAAACAGTCGAATATTTAAATTTCTAAACTTTATCACAACAACAGAGGGTCGAGTACGCTATGTTAAATCTATTTTAGGCCTACGCTACGTTATCAAAGTCAATATCTCCACGTCAGATCATGATTTAGCTGATGGCGGCGTTATTGACAATAGTCCTACAGCGTAGTTTCCATTGCAAAAAATTTCCATCGTAGGGCTGTCATGTCTGAAGCACACCACTCCTTCATGCTTGCTTACATAATCCATTGACTATATGCAGACGACGCTTTTCATCAGTTCGATTGGAAAGAATCCCATAAACGCTGCGACAAGCTACTGAATAGGAATGTCTCTCTATGAAACTACATGAATATCCATTTCATTCTTTAGCTGCATAATGTATGCGACGATTCAACGAAAGATATGACTGGAAGTCATATCCTTTTGTCTCCATTTTTAGACGAATATTTCTTGATCATGTGGCCTGTGACTTGTGAATAGCTTTCCACTAACTTTTGTGGTCTTGGATTCTCACCTGTTACAAGATGCCGCTTATAACGTTTGGGGTACGACTTGTTGCAGGTCTCTTTCTGGATGGGCCCGGAGCCTCAAGTTGGTCCATATTCCTTTGTTTTCCAATGCCATTCTAAATTCCAGATCTGAAAACATCTTATCATTTAAGCGTAGGAATATTTTACCTTCGAAAGGGCTATTACATATCTATCTCAAAAAGCGATAAAAGTTATGGCATCATACAATGTACAATGTCACAATATAATTCTGATACATATCATTCCAACGCGGCTTTATATTCGCTGCAGTTGTCACATGAATCGCTGACTTGCTTATTCCAAACCGTTTTGACATAAAGCACTTAATCTTGTAAGAAGTAAAAAAAAATCTAGATGTGTAGTTCATTCTTATTTAAATTTTAATTCAAGAAATTCCAACTTTATTGTACTATATATATGATGAATCCTTACGTTAGTCTATTTTTTAACAAATATTCTTAGTTAACCCATGATCGAGAGGTCAACTTGGGTATTTTTACACCTTCTTTCCTCTTGTTTCGATTATGCGCTCTACTAATTTTCCTTAACTTATTCTATTTCATATTTTCCCGCCTTTCCTTCGTCACCCTTCAACCTTCCTTTTTATTACAACCCATTTTACTCATCCATATCAAAGATTCGTTGTGTACTCGCATTATTCTTTATTTTGATAGATTATAATACCACTAGGGGTAGATACAAATTTTTAACCGTTCGTGAAAATCTTTCGTGTACACAAGAACATGCTTCCATGTAGGTCACGTTGGGCGTTTTAAGATAATTATGAAGTTCTAACATATTACAAACAACAAATTTAGTAAGCCGTGCGATATATAATCGTAGGTCGAAAAATATAAATTCTAACAGTTTTACCTTTTAACGGTTACACATGAATTACAGTTATATGTGATCCTAGGTGTTTAGTCAAAATCTCTCATTAACGATTAAACCATATTTTGTGCACCACAGTGTAATCTAAGAAACAAAGCAAGCAGTTTTGTATGTTAGATTTCGCATAATTTGCGTTAACCGTACCTAATTTTGAAGGTATAGACTAGAGGGACTCTTGATCTTCACTTATAAGACCAAATAGTGGAACTTGATTGTTACTCGTATAACGCACTCGCAGCCCCAAAGAGCAATAACGGGACGCAATCCACATGCCCTCTACCCCCACAGATGGGCACGCTAACGCGCTCGGTCCAAACAGTTTTTAAAGATAACATAATGAGAGTATACTTTGAACCAACATTTTTTTCATTTCCTCAAGTTTTTAAAATACTCAGTTGAAGGGCATTTACAACAAAATGTTCTATATTACAGACTCAGATGAAGGTCTGAATAATGTATTTATTATAAGCTTTAGGCAGGAAATGATTGATGTTTATAGTGATGGGGGTCAGTAAGTATACTTTCAATTCAAAATTAGTGAGAAATAGTGAAGATAGCTCTTGTGTAGCTTTAAGCGAATATCCGAAACACACACACACACACAACAACAACAAAACACTTACATAGTAAACAGCACTTACATAAATAAACATTCAGATTCATCAAGGCACAGCGGTCAAAATTAACTTTCACAGAGACCTTATTGTTTTTATATACCGGTTGTGTGACACTTTACTTATAATACAGAACAGTAACAAGTACAATCTAAGCCTATGTTTTGTAAGAACATTGTCTTGAGGTGTACGTAGGAGTACCGAGATAACGTATTATCAAAATGTAACATCTGTACTTCGCTGATGTTATGTGCATCATAACCAAATACATTAATTACATCAAATTATTGGTGTGGTCAACCGTTTCTCTGACAATCCGTCCGTGAGCTACTCTGTTTTGTGAAGTTAAGGTAGCGTAGTGCACACTGGGGTACAAGTATATTTAGTAAAAAGTGAAACAGTCAGTAATCAGTGGAGTTTCTTTCCTCGACGTTTCGCCTTACAGCTTTAAAATATGCCCTATCGAACACAA